GGCCCATCTCCATCAGGGACCGTCCACGTTAAGGCAGCAATGCCAAGGCAGGGAAACCCAGTGACAGTTCAGGCAGTCCAGGCTTTTCAAGAGTGTGTGTGTGTGTGTGTGCTTTGAGGAACCTAGAATGCCTCTGCTACACAGAATGCATCAGGGGCTGCAAATCTGCAAGTCTCAGCATGTGTAAATTGAAAACAGGCCACCGACGGAGCATTATCTCAGCACTTTTTTTTATTCCTAGCGCTATGCAGCATTTTGGATTCAAAAAGAAAATGATTGTTTGGAATGCGCAGAGCGCCCAGCTAGCCTCTGTCGGCAACTCTGTAAAGCAGCCGTATCTTTTCCAGGGATCAGGCGGCTGCTTTCCACAGCCGCAGGGGGATTCGGCGAAGACACTTGTTATTTTAAGGAGTCGCCAGAAGCTCACATCTGCACCAAATATTTTGCCTTTAAAACTCAAGCACTGCACAGCCTTATGGCTTACATATGTTCCATGTTTAACCTGAACTCAGAGTGGCACACTGATCCTCCCCTTTCCCATTTCATCTTTACAACATCCCTTTAAGGTGGGCCGGAAAGAAAAGGATGAGCTTAATTATCTCAACTATGGGAAGGAGCTGTCACTCTGCAGCGCAACTATTTGGACTAGTCTTTGGCTTCCAGAGACAGAGCTATAATATCTTGGAAGCCTATGCCAGACAGCAGCAACAAGCAAAATGGGATTTGGCACAAATAGCAATAGCCCTAAGACTTATGTACCGCTTCACAGTGCTTTACAGCCCTCTCTAAGTGGTTTACAGAGTCAGCCTATGGCCCCCAACAATTTGGGTCTTCATTTTACCCACCTCGGAAGGATGGAAGCCTTGAGCCTCGTGGGATTTGAACTGCCAAATTGAAGGCAGCTGGCTGCAGAAGTAGCTTGCAGTACTGCACTCTAACCACTGCGCCACAAAGGCTCAATTATAAAAAATTTTTTGTATGTATGTATGTATGTATGTATGTATGTATGTATGTATGTATGTATTATGGTATTCAGCTTTGTTTGGGTATTTTCCCACGTCATTACAGTTGTGCTTTTAAAGTTGTAGCGACGTTTCGGCAGAATCTCATCTGCCATCACCAGGCTTCTGTATTGTGTTCATCTGTGAGTCACAATACAGAAGCCTGATGATGGCAGATGAGATTCTGCCGAAACGTTGCTACAACTTTAAAAGCACAACTGTGATGACGTGGGAAAATACCCGAACAAAGCTGAATACTATACATATAAATACCCACAAAAACTTAAGAAAACAAATATATATATGTATGTATGTATGTATGTATGTATGTATGTATGTATGTATGTATGTATGTATAAAGCAGCTTGACCGATTGGCGGACAAGAAGAACTTTTATAAATAAATATGACACTGGATTATAATCTGCCTTTCCAGATTGTACTATCCTTGGTACTAAAATTGACCTGACATCCAATAGGAAAGGTCTTCTCAATCTCACCAACTTTAAGATGTTGTGGTCTTTAAGTCCCAGAATTCCCCAGCCAGCTTGAATTCTGGGAGTTGAAGTTCATGTGTGTTAAAGTGGCTCAGCCACAGAAACTTCCTGGGGCTTTGGACCAGTCATTCTCTCACAGTCCAACCTAGCTCAAGAGAGTTGTTGTTATGAGGAATGTGGGAAGAGAAATTATATGCCACCTCCTGAAGGAAAGACAGGATATAAATCTATTGATTTATCACATGGATGTCAAACTCGATTGTGTCACGTGACATATCATGACATATTGTGACTTTTCTGCCTTTCCGGAACCAGGCCTTGTGTGACGCATCTGGCCTGCATGCCACCAGTTTGACAGGCCTGATTGATAGATTTCAGACTATAAATCTATAGGTTTATAGCAGAGGTGGTATTCAGCAGGTTCTGACCAGTTCTGGAGAACCGGTAGTGGAAATTTTGAGTAGTTCGGAATACCACCTCTGACTGGCCCCGCCCCCATCTATTCTCTGCCTCCTGAGTCCCAGCTGATTGGCTGGGTCTTCTTTTGTTGCCCTGCACAGGAGAACGGAGCTGGAAAGCAGGTTAGTGGGGTGGGGAGGGAATGGGATTTTGCAGTATCCTTCCCCTGCCATGCCCACCAAGCCACGCCACACCCACCAAGCCATGCCCACAGAACCGGTAGTAAAAAATTTTGAATCCCAACACTGGTTTATAGATTAAGTCTATAAACCAGTGTATACTTCTACAAAATTTATAGATAAGTCTATAACCAGTCTATATATCTACAGGTTTATAGATTATGCATCGATAAATTTATAGATTTCAGTTTGTAAACCAATCTATACATCTAAAAGTACATCTAAACCTCATTTAGCGACTGCCTTGTTTAGCGATTGTTCACAAATACTATGGCAATGAAAAAGTAACCTTAGGATAAATCTTTATATTTATGACTTTCATGGGGCTGTAAAGCAAAGGAAAGCTGAAGTAATATGGTAAGCCCAGTCAGTTTCACTTAGTGACTAGTTCACTTAATGACCAAATTGCGGGTCCCAATTGTCATTGCTAAACTAGGATGACCTTTATAAATGTATATATTTCAATCTACAAACCAGTCTCTACAACTGCTTAAAGTTTATAAAGTTAGTCTATAAACCAATCTATACATCTATAAATCAGATTTAAATCAGTCCCTTATGACAGAAAGAATCAAATTTCAAACCCCTAAAATAATTTCTTCATGCCCCAAAGAAATCTCATCTGAAGAATGACAGCATTCTGGCTAAAAGGTAAAGTAATACAGATAATCCTCAACTTATGACCACAATTTGGACCAGAATTTCCATTTTAAGGCAATATGGTCATAAAATGAATCATCATGTGATTGGCCCTGATTTTACAACCATATTTATTGTTGTTAAATGAATCACTGTGATCATTAAACAATTCACATGGTTGTTAAATGAATCTGGCTTCCCCAACTGACTTTGGTTGCAGGAAGCTGGTAGGGAAAGTTACAAATCGTGATCGCAATAGCAATAGCCCTTAGACTTATATACCGCTTCACAGTGCTTTACAGCCCTCTCTAAGCAGTTTACAGAGTCAGCCTATTGCCCGCAACAAACAGGGTCCTTAGAAGGATGAAAGGCTGAGTCAACCTTGAGTGGGTGAGAATCGAACTCCTGGCAGTAAGCGGTGAGTTAGCCCTGCAGTACTGCATTCTTACCACGGCGCCATCATGGCTCAATCACATGACCACGAGACGTTGCAACCTTTATAAATATGAGCTAGTTGCCAATGCCCAAATTGCAATCACATGACTGCAAGGGTAATGTGACGGTTGTAACTTTGAACCATCATTTTTCTAAAGCAACTGTAACTTTGAACCATCATTAAATGAACGATCATAACTTGAAGGCCACCTGTACATTCTTACGTTTTTGTATCAAACAAGGTGAATATCAGCAGATACCATTTTCTCCCTTCAATATGATGGGCGAAGCACCATATATAAAAACTCTGATTTTATTTCTTGCTTTTGAACAATAAGGGGGATCCTTATGTACAAATATGAATTTGATCCCCCTCCTTGACAATTCCACCCCATTTATCTCTCGCTTAAGGCTGTAAAGTCAATTAGGGCAAAAATCAGGATCCTGGCATTCAACAATACTTCACTCCCTTCTGAGTTCAATGGGGCCAATCAGTAGCTATTGTTGTTTTTATTACATGAAGGAAGGAAAAGGGCAGGCCTTTGCTGCTAAGCAACCACGGATAGGCAAGAAGAGTGGTAGCACTCTGAACTTCCTGTTTGCAACTGATAGTTCAATCAGCTGAGACAGAAAAAGAATTGAGAGAATTATACTATTATGTCAAAGTAAAAAAGTTGAGGTTTGAAGTTACGGTCTTATTCTACTGCACCAAAGGGAGTCGGAAGTCAACGCCTTTTCTTTCTTTTCTACACTTTTCCCTTTCCTTTTCCCTCACCTATTTTTCCCATTATTTGTTTTGATATTTTTATATTTTATATTATAAACCAATAAAAAGGACCATTTGAAGAAAAAGAATTGAGAGCAACCACCAATGGCTTGTTGCCTTCCAAACGTACAGTGCTAGGATTGAACCTGGGAGTTGCACTTAAAATACATCAGAAGACGTATCAGGTTAGAACAGGCTGTGGATTTTCGTTAAATGCATACTTAGTGAATCCGGCATTAGACTCTGAAGTGGCAATCAGTTGAACATCCAAAATTTCACTGAGGTTTTACCACAGACCAAACTTCTTGCATACCTTCTCCCAGCCAGAAATGCCTAGGAAGGCCAATGTAGAACAATTAATGGGCAAGCATTTGTCTGAAATGGTATATGGTTTCCTGCCTAGGCAGGGGGTTGCGCTAGAAGTCCTACAAGGTCCCTTCCAACTCTGTTATTCTATTCTAGTCTAATGCTTGCACTATCAAATTGAATGCAGACATTACTCAGATAGTCAATGATAGAGAAATAGGGTCTGCATCTTATAAAGGACAATGAGTGCTGAGTGCCGCATCAACTTAATGGGCTTGGCAGTCAACATTGGCATCCAATTATATTTTAAGTCTATGTCGCTGGCAGACTTGCTAGGGGCTTCATTCCAGCTTAGAGATAGTAGCAGCAAAAGCTGGCTAAAGATGACAGACGTCCAAACATTTGCTTGGTTTTCCCAACAAATCTTGTACAGCCAAGCTTTGCCAGGCTATTCCCTTAGAAATACACACTGATGATAACTCAGGTTTTTTTTTTTTTTTTTGCTAAACTACAATGCCTGGCATTCCTCGCTATCGACTCAGGATGCCTGAATTTATACTTCAGCAAAATCTGTTGATGTAGGAAAACCACACTGATAAATATGATCTAAAACAGCAAAAGGAAGAAAATGAGTCTGAGTGGAATGCTCTAGGATATCCAACTGCAAACTTAGAAGGAAAAGAAATCTGGCCTTCCTCCCTGGGATTGACCCAGCTTACCTTGGCTGCTATCAAATTCAATGGTCGTGCAGCTGTTGTTGCCAAGATGCCAGGGACAATAGAAAACCGCACCTCCTTGCTTAATTTCTGACTGGCCTGTTTCAGCCTTGGGTGCCCCGACAAGGATGCTGCCACTGAAAGAAAAGGAAAAAAAAAAAAAGAGAGAGAGACAGGAATAAGTAGGGGAGGCCAATCCAGAAACTTACTACAATAAGGCAAAGCAAACTTCTTTGTCTTCTTTTTCTTGCAAGATTATTACCAGCAAACTCATCTGCTAGTGACAGTGTGAGTTTTCTATGCACGCCAGTGCAGGATACCAGGGACCTCAGGCTGAGTGATGCCAATTAGGGCCAGCCCAACCATGAGGTAAAACTGAACTAGTAGCTGCAGATGCTGAGCAACACGGAGAAAAGAGTAGAAAGGTATCTTTTGGTGCACACCTTTCCTGGAGAATAAAACGGTTTTTTTCAGACAACTCATCCATACCCCCTTTTAATCCCTTCCTCTTTAAAGTAAAAGATGAGAAGCTAAACATGTCATACCTCTTTGTTTCCCGATAGCTTTCTTTTGGATGCATTTTTATTGGTTCTCCCTCCCCACCCCTCACCCCGGAATCATTATTAGGGAAAGGGTGACAATAACTGAAATAGGTGAATACAAATAAATGTGCATTTTCGAGAGTGACGCTTTTTTTAAAAAAACAACAGGATTTGGCTGCCCACAAAATACAACAGAAATGAAGAAAAGCAATTTGGTCTTTGATTAGGACCCTTGTCCTTAAGAGAGCCACTCCTTACTACCACAGATATAATAAACTTTTGTTTAGAATATTATGGTTTTCACTTAAATAGGCAGAAAAGGTTTCTAGCACACCTGATGAGAAGCCTGGGTTTAAAAGGTAAGAAAAATAACATCTGCTTCAGTACTCTGATTAACAGGTAACCTTCTCCCAAGCTTTGGGAAACCAGGAGCATGTATGAAGAAAAATGGGTCAATTTGCTAAGTTCACTTTGAACCAAGAATGTGTAGTAGTGTTGAACTGGAAGGAACATTTTTTGTGTGGAAGGTTGAACCTTGGGACAGGAAATTGGATTAGGACAAGGTGCCTTCTACAACCGCTTGGTCAGGATCTGGTCTAAGCACCTGCTGAACAAGGCAGAGGGAATGGAGGCAAGCAGCACTGCATTTCCCATCCCTTGACAATTCGATATCCACGCCCTCTTGTATCGTCTGATCAATAATCCCTCATTCAATGATTTCTCCCTCCCCGCTCTTTTTTTCCAACAAGGGATAATAATCTGAGGAATAAGTAAAAAGGGAGATAGCTTCTTGTGAGTCATCCTTGAGAAAGTCAAGGTGGGAATGCTGGACACCATCTAATGAGGCAATCAGCTGGAACCAGTGGCTGAGATCTCATTCTTGAAGAGGCCATTCAAGACAGACCAGGCAGACTCCTTTCTCTCAGTACCTTTACTGACTCCTACCCAATCCCTTCCAAACAGGGATGTGGGCAAAGCAGGCTGAATGATGGGCCAAAGTGGCTTACCTTCCAGTTTAATTATAACTCCTTTGTGAAGCTACCTCTCTAACCCTGCGCCCAAACTAAACTAAAGCCACTCTAAGCACCAGATCTTCTGCCAAGGAATTGTTTTTGTGCAGTGGTATTGTGGTCTCTGCTCTGGTTTGCTAACAAGAGACCTCAGGAGGTCTCAGGGCTATTCAATCCATACAGTTGTTATTAGCATAGAGCTCCACAGGGAGATTTCTTGCCCTCCCACTTAGTACATCTTGCAGTGCACTTCACCTAGGTGAGAACTGACAGACAGGTCGCTTTCTTTTAGAATACCTGCAGATTGGTTAGTATCTTTGGATTGTGTTGGAGGAACAGGTTCTGTAAAATGGAGGCACGTTTCACTCCAGTCTCCTTTTCCTCCTTAGCTCCCCAAATTCTAACTACCTCTATATTTCCCTTCAAACTACCCTTTCCACCCCCTACACACACACACACACACACACACACACACCCTTCCCTGATGCAGGACAAAGGATCCTTGTGCAGTCAGTCAGGTGTACGGTTCAGCAGCTGCAAGCAGGCGGTGAACCCACCCCTCTTGGGGCCCACAGGCCTGGGAAAGAGCTTAAAATAAAATACTCCATAGTGGCCAAGGAAGTCCCATAGTAGGAAAACAGAGAGGACAGGCAGGATAGTAAGGAGAAACTCCGCCTCAGCAGCCTCCTTCCTGTAAACCTGCCAGATGCATTGGATGCTAACAGTTATCTGTGGGAGCTCAAACCATCTCCTGTTTCAATCTCTGTGGGGAGCCGGCAGCCAAATACTAACCAAGGCATATGTTACTGAGAGAAATGTGCAAAGGCTGTCTTCAAACTTTGACAGAAAACCTCATACCTCTGAGAATCTTAAGAATTATAGATCTGGGATGAAGAAAAACTAGAATGAAAAGCGGAAACTGAAAAAGAGGAGCAAATTCCCCTTCAAAAATAATTTCGCACCCTAGAGCAAAATGTATCAATGATATCAAAGCATAGCTTTACCCACAGAGCAAGTCAAATCTCAGAATAACAGAGCTGGAAGGAACATCTTGGGGGTCTTCGAGTCCCACCCCCTCCTCAGGCAGGAAGCCCTGCACCATTTCAGACAAATGGCTCTCCAATCTCTTCTTAAAAACTTCCAGTGTTGGAGCATCCACAACTTCTGGAGGCAAGTTGTTCCACTGATTAATTGTTCTGTCAGGAAATTTCTCCTTAGTTCTAAGTTGCTTCTCTCCTTGATTAATTTCCATCCTTTGCCATGTATCTCTTTCCAGCTCAAAATCCATGTAGCAGGATACATGAAATTGACCAAAGAAACTTGGATGCAAATGTTCTGTAGGATTCCTAAATGGAGTTTGATTTCTTCTGCAGTTGTGGTCTGGCTTGCAAACATTAACACCTGGAGAAGTCCGACAGAGTTTCTTAGGCAGAACCACCAGATTGAACCCGATCTCAAAAACCAAGACCTTCCGCCATTGAATGGCACAATCAGTAGCTGTGACCATGGAAATGTTCCCAATCTGGACTTAGCTCGGGTAAAGAATTTCTCACTCATCATGCAGAGTGTAGCAGGAATGCCATCTCCCAAAGTTTCTTCCCCCAACAATGCTAAAGATAAGACAACAACAAAGGAATTCTTCTCCACAGAATGCAAAAAATAATTTTTATCAGTCAATTAATAATAAGTTAGAATGTTGCTAAAGGCTGTGTACTAACGTAATTTACTTTTTTTTTTTTGTAAATTTTATTTGAGTTTTCACAAAGAGAAAAAAAAATACAAATAAAACATCTTTTTTGAAAGCAGCATAATCCCGGGTTACATTTCTTTGTACAGACACAAATTCAGGTTCATGCTCATTTTTATATTCTATTCCATATCTTATTACTATTTTATATTTTCTGCATAGCTTCTCTCCTCTTTTAATTTTCTCAATTTTATTTTAATTATCTCATCTCAATTCAAATCATTGTATTTATATTTTTTGTCTGTCCTGTTTCAATTATCTATTATCTTTTCTCATTAAACAAAATTTCTCCTGTAGTTACTGATTGGAGTATGACGCCTTTATATCTTTTCCCTAAAATTGTAACATTCAATATAATACATAACTTCCATTCGGATTCTGCTTGGTACATTCTTAAAATACACACTGTATTCCTAAAAAAAGAAAAAAATTATAAATGTATATAATTAAAACAACATTCCATTCCAATTCAATTCTATCATTAATATTAATATTCATTAAAGTCTTAACATCTTTAACATTACTTTTCAATTAAATATCATACTTCTATGGGAACAATTATAAGCTTTCCATAGTTAATCCCCCCCTTCACTTATATTTTATAAAACATTAACTAATTAAAATGTTCCCGTTCCTTCCTAATTCAGTTTTCTCTTTTATTTTATTTCACTTATTTTATTCACAAACATTTCACTAAATTACACTAACTATTTTATCCCTCATTTTAATCATACGTTGTTTCCAATTTTCTAAAGTTATTTCTATTACTAATATAACAATACAGTCTTATGTACCTTTACAGAATCCCTTTTTCAGTTAGATTTTCACCCATTATCTCTAAATAGGTCCTGTTTCTCTATATCTTGCTCCGGTCCTTTGTAACTTCTTTTCCTTTCCATCTTCCCTCTCTTCTTCTCTCTCCCCTTTTTACCCCCTTGTCTCTCTACCTCTATTTCTCTCTTCTGTATTCCCCTTTTCTGTTGCTTTCCAGTATTATACTTATTTTTCGAATTATTTTTCTTTTCTTTGGTTATTTTTTTTAAATCTTAAATTCTCCATTCTCTTTCCCCCCTTTCCTTTTTCTTCCCCACATAGAATTACTTGTTCGTTAAAGATGGCTTCTTCTTTGTCCCAGTCTTCTTGTTTTGCAGTCTTTTCTTGTTGTTTTTCATAGTTCCAAATCTCCATTTCTAAGAATTGAAAAACGAAGCCAAAAGAACCCTTCCCTTCTTGTGCATCTTCTTTGTACTTTTTAAGTTCCATTTTCAATTCATCCAGAAGTGGTGCCATTGTATAAATTTTTAAACAACCACCCAATTGATTTTAGTCATTCAAATATAATAACCAAAAATCCAAAGATCACCAAATAATCCAAATACATGCAAGCTGTTTCTTTTTTGCTCTTTTTTTCACTTTCTCTTCCTGGGGTTACTATTTAGTTGCAAAGTTTCAGTTAAAATGTATCTTTTAGAAGTCTTGTTGAAGTTTTACTGTAGATTCTTTTTAATTCCAGGCAGTCTCCTCCCTCTTCCAGATCTTGCCCTTATTCTTTTTCTCTCCCTTCCTGCTTATGAAAAAGAAAGTTTTTAATGTCCAGAAATCTTTATTATCCCTTTGGCATTTTGTTTTATTTTCAGCTTAATTGCCTATTGATGTCAAAGCGGATTTTTCCGATTTCTTATTTAAGTCTCTTAGCTGTCAGTATAGGGAAGGAGAGAGAAGAACAAAAAAAGCCAAACCTTTCCCTTTTCACTTTCCTTCGCTGCTTCTGACTCTTCTTTGGGAGCAATGTTATTTTTTGTAAGTTTAAATTCCAGGGTACCTTGGTTGTTGCTTTT